TTCTCCATCTTGTCATTTAATTCCCTTAACATTTTAATCATAGTTATTGAAAGGTCTCTGTCAGATAATGCTAAATATCTGAATTTTCTGAGGGTCTGTCTATTTTTCTTCACTTTTTCATTTTTAGTCAAATCTTACGTTTTTTGTATTCCTAGTTATTTTTTATTAACAGACTTTGAAAAATTATAGAGAGAATTTGAGAAATTGTGTGATGCTATCTTCCCTCAAAGGGGATTTATTTTCGCCCCTCGCTGTCCTCTAGGTTTGGGGCAAACTGCCTCATTCATTTAGGTACTGAGATCATCTGAGGCTGGGCTTCAGCCCTTGTGAGGACAGGCACATTTCCAGTTCACCTGTATTCCAGGGGTGGCCCTTTGGGGTCCCAGTAGAAAGCCTGGTGTGTTTAAAGGCCACTTCTATTTGGTGCATCCTAAACTCTAATTTTTGTTTCCTATGAGTCTTCTAAAAATTCTGCTCAGCTTCTTGCCCTTGAATTGACAAGTGTTTGAGGGGAAAAAGTGGCACCAAATCTAGGCCTCATCTATCCGGAATATTGGCCCTTGCTTTCTTGATAGCTCTCTGATGCCTTAATAGATACATATATTCTGACTCTTCTAGCTTTCTGGGCAGAGGGGTTGGTGCAAAACAAGCTCATCACCCATTACTGGAAGCTGAACTCTCCATATGCTTTATTTGAATAATTAATTTAAAAGAGTTCAAGTTCTAAAGTAAAATAGACTTGAGTTCAAATCTCGTTTCTGTCACTTACTAGTATGTGACTTTAGGTGAGCTATTTAACCTCTCTGAGTCTTAGTGTCCTCATCTGGGAAATGGCAGTAACAGTAATACCTACCTTGAGTTGTCTTAAGGACTTATTTTTAAATGCAGCTATGGCACTTAGCACAGAGCCAGGAATATAGCAAATATTCAAATGTTTGTAATAACAATTTTTAAAGCATTATAGTAATTTTTATTATTAATTAACACTAACAGCAGCCACTCCCCTATGCCCCCTCTGTGAAGGTCACTGGTAAAGACCCTATACAGATCTTAGTTTCCTCAGCTTCCCTATGGCCCTGGAGCACTTGGGTGGAATGGCACACTGTACCACATGAAATAGTTTATGCATTGGTTTCATGCTCATTTTAGAAAAAAGATCAACTGGAGTAAAAGTCAAAATTTAGCAGCAGGATCAAGTGAGTAAGCTTTGGCACGAAGACTTACGAAACTGGTCCCCTAGAGTAGGGTCTAGAGTTTATCCCCCAAGTGTGATGTGAGACAGTAACCACGGAGGTTTGCTCTGGAAAAGGGAGACAGATCTTTACTGCCTTCCCCACATTAGGGCTGAGGCCTCATTGTACTGGGAAAAGGTTTCCACTTACTAAGACTCCTCGACAGTAGAGAAGCTCCAGGTGCTTTGAAACAGAAACTCTAATTATTCTGAGCTCTCTTTGTAAGAAAAAACTTTATTTCAAAGATTCTGTAGTATTTTAATAAAAGGCTTGCACTGCTCCATAATACTTACATTCAAGAAGCAACATTTCTGTTTTTAAATGTTTTGTTTAAATGTGGTTTTTTTCTGCTTTTTCTCCCCAAAACCCTCCGGTACATAGTTGTATATATTTTAGCTGCGGGCCCTTCTAGTTGGGGCATGTGAGACGCCGCCTCACTGTGGCCTGACGAGCAGTGCCATGTCCGCGTCCAGGGGCCGAACCAGCGAAACCCCAGGCTGCCGAAGCAGAGTGTACAAACTTAACTGCTCAGCCGTGGGGCCGGCCCCTGTTTAAATGTTTTTAAATGCTACTGTATTGTACACTTTAAAATCTGTTAAGAGGGTGGATCCTATGTTAAATGTTCTTAGCACAATAAAAAAATTCAAAAAATTTTTAAGTATTTTTAAATGTTGAAACATCCAAAATATTAATGTGTAGGATATATAATAGATGTGCTTTGTACACACCATACAGCCAGTTTCTTTCACTTTCCCAAGCTGCTCTTAGAGTGAGTGATGCCACGTGGAGGTTGAGTCAGCCAGCCACATTGGCACTCCCAGGAAACACTCAGAACACCATATTCCAGAGCCTGGTGTGGTTTTGCAGATCCAGCAACACAGTTCCAGATACAACAGGCCTTAGAGTCTGTTTTACACAGACTTACAGAAAGCTGACATATAAGTCAACATACCTTAGTCTTTTAACAGTGAAGCAAAAACTGCCACTGGGGCTGTACAAATGAGGCTCTAAACATGGCCTTTAGTCCCCTAATTTGAAAAGCCAGGTTTCAAAAGTGACGATGGAGCCCGGGCCAGAGAAACTAGTTAGAATAACGATAAACTCTGCCACCAAACTGTGGTGAAAATGCTCCAATTCTCCAGCCCTCAGGATCACCCTTTCCTTTTCCCCTTGGGACATAATCCAACCCTCTCACACTGCTGGGCTGTAGAAAGTGATGTGTAAGTAATGGAGGAAGTCCTGGCAAGTGTTATATCCCTCAGATCCATGCTGATTCTTGCTGGTCACCATTTGGCCTAGAGGCCAGTGTCTGGGCTCCTGTTCTCTTTTGCCATCTGGAAACCACCTCCAAGCTACCAACGCCCTCGAGGCACCATCTGGCCCCAGTATGGACACAGCTCCTCCCTGAATCTTCCAAAACGCAGCAGACACTGGGCTGCAGTTTTTGACAAAGACTTACCAAAAGTGAGACTAACACGAGGGAATTAACAATGTAGGGAAAATAATTAAAATCAGGTAACACATTCCAGGGTTCTTAGAACCGTTAGCAACACTCCTGCACAGGAGCGATCTCTGACTAGCATCTGTCTCCTAAGGCCCTAACCTGCATTGAGGAGGCAGAGACCTACTCATCTCCTCCAGATGGGCGTCCTCCACTTCCCCTCTATGAATCCTACAGCTCCAATTCTCCCCTCCCCAACCCCCAACAGAAGAAAAGAGGCTGCTCAATCTCATAACCATCTCTGCATTCTTACTCTACTCACTCGGTCTGATTTAGGATCTGACTTATACAGCTTTTCTTCCAGCTTTGACAGTTTATTTATTTAGCTCCTGGCTTAAAATCCAGGCCTTCCCTCTGGACGCAATGATTGCATCAGCCCTGAAACAAGCCATCCCTAATCATGGACCCGAACAGCATACAAATGTACCATAGCTCACCCTGTTGAACATGTTAGTTCTAATTTCTTCCTATTATAATCAATGCAATGAATGTCTTAAAAGCTAATCTCACATATGCCTGATATCCTTTCAAACTTTGCTGATTCAAAGGGTATGCACATTTTCAGTCACTCATTCAGTATCGAACTAACTACTGGGCATTCCTCTAGGACCAGGGATATAATAATGAGCATAAATATATTCACCAAGTTTTATAGCCTTCATATCTCGTGGGAGAAACAAATAAGGAAATAAATGAAAAATGCAACGGTGTTAAGTGCAAAGAATAGTGCTACTAGAGAACAGCTGCCCTAAGAACCGGGCATTAGCTGAGACCTGGTGAATGATTAGTAAGCATGACAAGAGCAAAGATGGAAGGGACTGTGTTCCAAGCAAAAACAACAGCAATTTAAAAAGTCCTGGGGCTGGAAAGACAGAGAGCTGGAATTGGAAGACTAGCCCAGGTAAAACAGAGGTATTAAGGGGGAGCACAGACTGAGAGGGGCAAAGACCCAAACTTTCAAGACTTTGTAAGCCCTGTTAAGGACTTTGATCTTCATTCCAGGAACAATAGGATGACAGTGAATGATTCTGCACACATTTTGAAAATTTGATACTTGCTGGAAAGGTTATATATACTGTATTACACTCCCCTACAGCTTCAACAACACTGAGCATTATTATCTTACCAATTTGATCATTTTAACTTGTGCACATTACATTTTTTTTTTCATGTTTATTGCTCATGTTTGTATCTGTTATGGACTTAATATTTGTGTCCTCCAAAACTCATATATTGAAATCATACCCTTCAATGTGATAGTCTTAGGAGGTGGGGTCTTCGGGAGGTAATAGGGCCTGTGGGTAGAGCCTTCATGAATAGAACTAATTTCCTTATGAGATGGGAGAGAGCTTGCTTCTGCTCTCTGCCATGTGAGGATACAACGAGAAGACGGCCATCTACAAGCTAGGAAGATGGCCTTCACCAGACACTGGATCTGCCAGCCTCAAGAACTGTGAGAAATAAACGTTTGCTGTTTAAGCCACCCAGTCTGGTAATTTGTTATAGCAGCCCAAGCTGACTAAGAGACTATCCCATTTCCTATTGGGGTGTCTTTTTTTTTTTTTTTACTGAATCTAAGACTTACTTATTACCTTTACCTTTTTCCCTAATTGTTTGCCTTTTAAGTACGTATGTCAAAACATTATATACCTAGCAACCTTTTCTTTTAGGGATTCTGCCATAAATGCATTTTTCTCATCCCAATATTATACAAGTATTCATCCATATTTTCTATTAGTATTTCCACGGTTCAATTACTCATACTCAATCATGATGTCTTGACTGAAATCTATAAACACAAACTTAATTTTACTTTTCAAAAGGTTAACCAGTTATCCCTTGAAACCTTTATCACTATGAGTAAACAAATTACAGAATAATTCATGGATGTTTCTTTATCTTCTGTTTTATTCTATTATCTAATCATATGTTACTGCACCAGTACCACACATAACTTTATAATACACTTCGTGTGATAAAGTCCTTCCATGATAAGTTCTCCCTTCCTCATTTGTTCAATTTTAATTAGCTACCCTATAAGAAACTTACTTCTTTCTCATGAAATACTGAATTGGCTTTCACCAGGATTTTTAAATAAACTGTTGAGGTTTTAAACTCAGAAACAGGAAATAACCATCTGGAACGGAAAGAGGTGAAAATGACCTTGAAGACTTCAGCAATTCCTCCCAATAACTACTGAAATTTACACAGATTTTTGCATGTAATGGGTAGATTATTGAAGAGTTTGAACAAATATCACGAGACAGTTTACCATAATTGACTTTTTATTTAAAAAAATTACAGGGAGTGATTTCCAGCATATCTTGTTTTATAAAAGTACTGCCTGTATCAAACATTTTATATCACTATTAATTCCATTAAGAGCTGCCTTTTTTTTTTTAAGGTACTAATTCCAATTTATGGGATACATGCCCTTAAAATATAAAGTTTCCATTATTTATTCAAATGTCAAAAGTAAGATTATTGAGAAGTTTATTGCTTTATGGCTGGGCAAGATGCTACTAGCACATTTTAGGTAAATAATATTCTTTATTAAAAACTATAAGGTCATTCTGTTTAAAATTTCGGGATAATTCACAGAAAATAGACATATTTATTCAAATTACATATTGAAGGGCTGGACTATAAGCTATAGACATTTATATGTGAAGCAGCTCTCTAAAGAAATAAGATGCACAAACAGGTCTGTCTTGGTATAATATACATAATTGAAATTAGTAAAACCTGGAAGACTAATATTGTTACACTATGTTCTGTTAGGATCTTAAAAAAAAAATCACAAATTTAGTAGTTCACTTGTGCTTAAAATATTCATATGCATGAGAAGCTTAAAGAAAAAAACACCTCTGTACATGATGATGAAAAGTAATAAATTTTTTTGAAATTGCACTGTTATTTAAACACTTTCCTGAAGTCAGACCCTCCTTTGCAGCTGGCACAGTTTTTCAGGTCTAATTGGCAACCTGGGGAGGCCCCTCTGGTATTAGTGAAGTAAAGAAGGTGGTGATAAAAGACCAAGCTGATGCCATTAATCCAGGCCTTTGAAGCGCACTGGCATCTTCACCTGCATCTTCTCCACTCTCATCTTCAACCCCATCATCCATGAGACGCTCCTTTTAAACAAAACAAGAAACATACTCCTAAGTGATCTGAACAGCTAGCATTAACTCACGACAGAAAAAGAGAGTTAAGTTCCTTCCTATAGAAAGAAGGAATATGAGCATGTAATAAGGAAATGGTACTATCTGGCCATCAGAAATCTTTATCAAGTCCAAAAGTGATAAATTCCTCAGTGTTCAAGTTCAAAACGATAACTGACAATTTAATGCAATAAATTCTTACTGTGTGCATAATTTTCTTTCTAGACTGTTTTCAGGAAGAATAATGTTAGTTCTTCTCATTTAATTCTAATATATGACTGACTCACTATTATATTCTAAGTTCTCCCAGATGAAACCACACAATTTATAAAAAGTTAAACTTTTCTTCAGGTGCCATCCACAAATACTTATGGCATACTCCAAGACTCTTTTATGATGTTGGGCTCACACAGTGTTGAGGAAACATCTAGATTTCAAGTGTACAAAAACCTCATTAGCATACCATTTCTTCAAGTTCTAGGTTGTTTGCATTTTGCCCATCATTGTTAACTTCAGCATTATTGTTGGGAGCCTGTTGTTGACCTTCTTGCCTAAAAGGAAACCATCCAGCCTGGTGTCTGTTCAGTAAAATAAAGAGAAAAGAAAATAAGTTGCAACTGTTTTTATTTGTAATACTACAAAACATTAGTATCCTACAAGAGAAAAGTGATTAGAACTATAACAAATGAAAAGATCAAATCTCCTGCTTTGGGCCAAGAACTACCCCTCTTAAAGCAATGACAGCAAAACAAGAATCAATTTAAGTCTAAAAGTCTATCATGGGCTTAATTGGCTTTAGGCTAGATATTAAGTATCAAGAATCATAAAATCTTTTTTGATATTTTTCAAAATGAATTTCAAATAGATATCTGTTTGCCTCTTGGGGAAAGGGGAGCAAGGGAAAGTTAGTCTGCTTATGAAAAAAAACCTGACCTGTCTCTATAGGACTTACTATTGATAACTATAATTAAAAAGAACATCCTTATGCAAGAGGGCATCATACACTTCTTCAAGTTCTAAATAATTGATAGAGCATGTCTAACTGAATTAACAATTTTTATAAAAGACAGTAAAGGAAAAATCTACTTCTGATAAACATTCCTATCCAACATAAGCTGCTCTGCTTTTGGTGTCAGATATCTGAAGCCCAACATTCATATTCCTTCACTCAACATTCACAACAGACTACCGCATGCCAGATTCTGTGCTGAACAGTTTTAGAAAGTAATTAAAAGAAACCACAGAAAGTTAATGAACATCACTCACAAATAAACCAGTAGCATGGCTCCCATGACCATGATAAACCGACTGAAAGAAGAATAGAAGTATACAATGCTGAGGAGAATGGCAGCTCGTGAGAACGTGTACATCCAGTCTAGCCAGTCTCGATTGAAGTCTTCTTCGTTTAGCACAGGACCTCCCTGTGCGTTCATTTGAACATTCTCATTCATGGGTCGATTTTCTTGGGCCACTAGGTTTGGAGCTGGTGGGGGTTCTTCTCCAGGAACATGTGCCAAATTTAGAGGCTGTGAAGCAGCAGGCTCGGCTGGGCTGGCATTTGATGTGGCCTGAGCTGAAACTGCAGCTTGACTGAAATATTCACCAAAATAAATATTAAAAAGAAAAAAATCCTTTATCATACTGTATTATATTTTTCAAAAGTTTCTGGGGAGCCATATGTATTTTTCATAAGCCTAATATGGATTATCACAACTCCTGCACACATTTCTTAGGTAAGCACAGATCCCAGTGGAAAAGCGGAGCCAACACTGATGGTGGGAGTAGCTCAGGAAGGATGTTCTCTTAGCCTGGTAGCCTAAGACGGTAGAGGAGAGGTGGAAGGCATAAGAACAGCCATGTTAATCACTATCTTTTCTCTCTTTCACTAAATTACTTTATAAGGTAATGACCACACCTTTTTCCAAACCTTTTTACTAATGGCCCCTTTTGTTATTCTACATGGGATGAATACCCCTACACCAACCACCTTCCCCTCAGACCCATGTTTTGAAAGATTTGTCTAAAAACGTACATTGATCATAATCCTGTGTGTCCACTGTCAGTGACAAAAGATTTGTATTAGCATTTTAAAATACTACCTAGATCCCAGATAACAACCTCTAAGCCCCAATCCTGACTTTTGGAAACTCCATCCGGGTACCACTGGTATAGGTCGTTGTAAACTTATGAAGAACTGCGGTCCTAAGTTTGCTAATAATCTGATTGCTTGAAAGTCAAAATAAATTTTCCTGTGAAAGGCTCCCAGAAAAACTATAATATATCTGAGATTTGCTTTAAATTATCCAGCATCGGGGAGGAAAGTTGTAGAACAAGATTGCCATGAACTGATAAATGCTGATGCTGGGTGATGAGTACAAACTGATTCATTTTACTATTCTATCTTTTCATATGATGAAATTTTTCTACAACAAAAAGTTTAAAAGTCAAGATAGCAGAATAAAATAAAACAGAAGTTCCTCAGGCTACAAAATCCTATTTAAGCCAGTACAGTAATACCTTGTATCTGTACAGGGCTTTTTAATTGCTAAAAACACTACCTACCTCATGGATATTCTGATTCATAGGTAACTTATTTCATTAAGGTGAGAACTTGAGGCTCAGAAGTTAAATGATGTACATAAGATTATATGATTTACTAGCAAGCTACCATAAGCCCCACTTAGCTCACACAGTTCTTGTGAGGTTATACATGAGACAAGGGGTGTAAAGCATCTAGTAGAGTACTAAGCACAAAGCAGTCACTCAAAAGACAACTATTACCATGGCAAGAGGTAGGGAACAAACAGCCTCCCTGGAGCCAAGGAGTTATGCAAGAGAATACTAGGATATGAGATTCATAAAGCAGGTTAGCTTTATGGGGTAAGGCCTAGAGTAAGGATAAGGAGACAGACTTCACACTGCAGGCAAGAAAGCCATCAGATATTTGGGGGGATGGGGAATGACTGACTCAATTATGTGTTAAGCAAGTTAGCATGGCAGTAGTATGATGAAATACAGTAAAGAGCCTAAAAGGAGAAAGAGTGATTGTAGTAAAACAGGTGTTAAATGAGAAAAGATCTGGGCAAAGTAGGAAGTAAGATAGAGGGGAAGGACAGAAGCGAGAAACAACATATTAACTCATCTTGGTAAGTTGCTGGGTTCAGGGATAACAAAAGCCAGAATCAAAGCTGTTTAAGGTTAAGAGTTTAGAGGATGATTAAGAAGAGACAGTGTCACTGACAAAGAAGAACACACTTAAGACAATGGTGGAGTCAAAATTTTAGACACACTGAATTTAGGAGAAAGGTAAATTTCCCTAAAGAAATCTTCCAGCAATTAAGTGGAGACACAGGACAAAGCACAGGAGATAAAAAATTGGGAGTCATCAACAGAGATCTACCAACTAAGGTCATGGAAGAAAGAAATCCAAGAGGACTGGCCCAGGAATGAATGCTGTCTTTCCTACGAGACTGAGTGTCATAAGGCACATGGTAAGTATACAAATGCCTGTCTAACTGAACAAGGAATGCTACCATTTAGAAGGGGGAAAACAGGCTATCAAAGGACACAAAATGAGTGATCAGAAAGATAAAAAGAATGAAGAGGATAACAGAAACAAGGAGAGGAGAACATTAAAGAGAAGCGAGAAATGTTAAATGAATGCAAAAGAAGTCAAAAAGAATGAAGGCTGAGAAACTGTACTCCATACTAAGATTGTTCCACACTGACCAGAAGCAAGACTTATTAAAATAAGGGCAGTCCAGAAAGTATATGAGCCACAACTGATCCCTACATCAATATGAGCCTCCCTGACATAAGATTCTTTCTGTTCCCTTTCTCATTCAACTTCCTCTCTCTTCATGTAAATTTGCTGCCTTCCAGTGAAACTTTCCTAAGTTTTCTCCTCTGAAATAGATAAAATGTTATATTAAAGAAAGCATCTGAGTACTGCTAAATATAATAAGGGGAGAGAGGGAGAAGCAGAGAGTAGGCTTAGCTCATGTGAACCTTTTTTCCTTTAGCCAAATAATTTAAAATAAAGTATCTGCTGAGATGTTAGCAAAGTCCTCATTATAAAAAACCAATGAAATACATCAGTAAATAAAATCCCAAATCAACTTAATTACGATGAAAAAGAAAATAAAGCAAATAACCGACTGAGCAAGAAAATGAAGTCCACTTACTATTGCATATAATACTGATGAGCATACATCTGCTGCCACCACAGCATCTGCAGGGGGCTGAAACCGGGGTACACCGGGAACCCAGCTGGTATGGCTTGCCCGGGAAGCTGGTTGTCTACATTTCTGCAACAAAGAGATAGAGAAATGTCCTTTAATGCTCTAGAAGTTGAAAGTATTTCTCTAAATTTTCATTTCTGAACTACAAGTCATCCACTGACAAAATGTATTAAATCTTACAGAAAAGAAAAATATTTTCAGCATTCTTCAAATAAGACATTATGGCTTATATAAGATGACCCTGATCCCAAATATACAGAACTAACATTTCAACCCAGTCTTAACAGGCAAATAAAACATATCATCCACAAAATGTGTGGCAAGCCTGAACATTTACTATCTTTCCATTTAAGGACAAAAGACCAAAAACACTTTCATCACATTTTAAGTACATTCTCCTTAAGAACCAAAGACCTAAAACAAACTTCGTGACAAAATATTTTGAGGAATGGGGGAACTAGCCAAATGATATTTTACATTAGTAATAAAATATTCTTAAAAACATAGCAGCTATCAGCTATAAAATAAGAACATTATAAAAATCTGTAAAATATTTTTTAATTAAAGAACCAAGATTAGCAGAACATATTTATACATGCATTCTTAAAGTAGGTTAGACTTCTATTAATTCAGTAAAATTTGTGGAAGGTCACATTTAACTTCTCTATGCCTCAGTTTCATCTCTAAGATGAGTCTAATAAGACAATCTTCCTCATAGGGTTGTTAGTCTGTATTCAGTAAATGTTAACTATTTTTATTTTTACTCTCTCCTACCCCTAACTATGAACATGACTCCAAAGTGTGTAATTCACATACATCAAGAAAACTACATGGATAAATATATAAGTAAATGCAGAATCTGTGAATTTCTAACCCTCCTTTTCTTCATATTACTTGAATTTTATCTTCAACTGATATTAGTGTGGTCTATCCAGAGTGAGATAAGAATAATTAACAAATTCATGAACTCTAATTTTATATTCTAAAGACTGTGAACATACAACTGGAAATAACTGATTATAGAAACCTAATTTAGAAGAGCTTGGGAAACTAAAATTTATCAACAGATGTAGTTAAGGCAACCGGTGTAACTGAGGCACCAACTCTCCTACATATTACCCGAACTTTCCTCATCCTTGAAGGAGGAATGGGAGCCATACAGCGGCTCCTATCCTCAGAAGATTCTTCTACCTCCTGAATATAGCCTTCCCCCTACTTCCCAAGCTTTCCCACATACTGAATTAAGAAGGAAAAGCTTAGAAGCCTCTATGAGAGTTCCTCCCAGATCTTGATAAACAAGTCCTGTAGAAGAGGAGGAAAAGAACCCTAACCCACCTATTCCTTTAAAAAGATGTCAATTAGTGATCAAACCTCAAGAGAAAGCCATACCACTGGAGCGGAGGAGTATCATAAAACATCTGTATAAAGATCTTGGCATTTCCACCAGTGAGCTGACACATCTGAGCGACTCTGAAAACTACCTAAATCAAATATTAGCAACAATACAAGTCTGTACCAAGGTGTATATTTTAAATTTTCTTGGTATTTCTAACTAAGAAAAAAACCTATCCCCCTGAAAGTAGAGCTCCACCCATCTCCACTACTAAGAAGAAATATAAGCTCACACAAGTCCGTTACTTCAACTGTAAAATGGGAAGGCTGGACTTTGTCACTGTTTTTAAAAGGTCAAGGGAAGAAAAGGCCACTAACAATCACTTTGAAAAAATTACTATAGCTTCCCATCTCACCCTATTGCAGCTGAGAACATAAGGTGATTATCAAATTTACTTTTGATAAAATAAAAATAAATTTTAATTTTGAATTAAAATAATAATTTTAATTTTGCCAAAAATAAAAATTAATAAACTCTTCTAGATGATTCCAACATGCTTCCTCCCTTTCTCCTCAGTAAGTTAAAAACTATTGGACTGCATAATTGCTAGGATACATTCCAGGCCCAATTTGGCATACAAATTCAGTTGTATTAATTATTCTTCAGTTGTGTTAGTTATCCTTCAGACAAGATGCTATGCATTTGGAACTCTCTAGAAAACAAGAAATAAAGCACTTATTTGACACTAAATTATAAAGTTATTAAAATATATAGTAATAGATCAATGAAACATATTACATAAGAAACTAATGTATTCTAGAGGATGCATCACTAAGCAACATGATAGAGAATTATTATTTGGTGCTGGGAAAAGTGATTACCAAATTGGCGGTGGGGGGAAGGGAGCTTAAAGCTTCACCTCATTCCAAATATTCAAATAAGTTTCAAGTGGACTAAAATAAAGTATTAAAAGTTAAACCACAGGAAATCTAGAAGAAATTATAATTGGTTATTTTCCAAACCTTTGGAAGGAGGAAGAGTTTCCTAACTTATAAGCAATAGAAGAAAGTACAAAAAAAGCAATCAACATATTTGACACCATAAAATTTAAAGAGATAGAGCTCAGAAAAAAATGTTTGCAATAAATAATAACAAATATCTTTTCTATATAAAGAACTCATAGAAATGGAAATTATTATGACACCAAATAAATGCAAACTAACATAAAGATGGCTTTTTTTTTTGTCTGCCAACATCCAGTATTGACAAGAGGTACAAGTCAACCCCAACTCTTTCGTTGCTAGCAGGATAAACTGAAATAAGCCTTTAAAAAACAATTTTACAAAATTAAACACCTTTAGAAATGTTCAGTTATACTCAGCTGCCCAAGTTATTCTGCTTCTGAAAATTATCTTAAAGAGATATGAAAAATGGAAAACAATTCCACATCTCTGCCCTTTACGCCTTTGCACATCCCTCTTTGGAACAACACATCATCCTATTCCCCTTCCAGCCTCCTTCCTCCTAATAACAGAGAGAAACTGAAGACCGGGATAGTAGTTTATGATTAAAAAGAGAGTGAACTTTATCAAAGCACACATCATCTGTTTCTAATTCCACATCTATGAACGCATTTACTCTGTGACCTATCTTTGACTCACTTGTACTCCTAGGAATCTATCCTAAAGATAATTGGCAAAAATGTGAAACGATGTATGTGCAAAGCTATGCATCACAATACTATTGGTAACAGTAAAGACTGGAAATAACTATTCAGCCACAGGAGACTGGATGTCATAGTGTATGCACTCAGTGAATCAGTATGCAGATGTAAAAAGGACTCTCTATACTCCTATGAGCGATCTCCTGGATATTCCAAGTGTTATTTTGTTAAAAAACAAGGTGGAGAAGAATACATATGTTACCTTTTGTGTTAAAATGAGAAGGATATATATATACATGTGTGTGTGCACATATACATACATGTATGCATATTTACAGATAATGTGTTTATACACATTTTCTTGAATTTTCACAAAGAAACAGTGGAAGGATAAACCAAAAACAAATAATAAAAGTAATTACCTATTACGGGAGAGGAAGAACAGGAAGAGGGAGTAAAATTAAAGTAGGCCCCTCTGAATGTATCTTGTTTTACAGATTTGAGACTGGAACCATAGAAATATTTTATGTAATTAAGAAAAAACCTAAATCAAAAAGAAAAACTAATAAGAAAAAAAATTCAGGAAACAGAAATTAATGAACTTATATATCAAGTTTCATAACATAACCACACAGATAATTATTCTACTGACTAAAACACAGTATTTTAACTGTACACTCCTAGCAGGATAAATTCTAAAGACAAAAAAACCCCAAAAATTTTAAACTCTAAATACCATTTCTTACCAGGGTTCCCTGGGAATAGGGTCAAGATGAGTCTGAGACATCTTGTCATGCATGAGTTTTGACATTATCAAAAATTACTCAAATCGTGTCAAAAGGACATGGCAGAAAAACTGAACAGGCATTATTTCTCTTTTCTATTTCTACACATTGTCATCTTTCATTCTATAACTGATCATATCAGCCAAATAACTAAACATTACTATTTATAATGTTTGTAATTTCATAGTGTATGAAATCAGTTAGGTTTGCATTTGGCTGCATTCTACAGAGAACACACCCTATGGGGCTTAATCAGAGAGGCTGTTCAAAGATGACAATGTGTAGGAACGGAAAAGAGAAAAAAATCATTTCAAGTTTTTAATATGTGTGTGTTCTCTAAGTGTTCTCTAACCAATCTGTTATAAAATATAACGAGCATTTTTTCAAATTTTCAGTAATTCCAAAATAATGTTTGGAATAATGACCTAAAGCAGGGTACTCGATCATTAGGTAGATAGTAAACCCTTTGCTACTTTGTTCAAATCTAAAGCAGAGTAATGGAAATTATCAAAGTCTTTAGGTTAAAATTATGCAAGTCAGAAGTACTGGCATACAGAGAAAATTGATTTTTCCTTCTCTTTGGTAATCATCTCTTTACATGACAGAAACACGATATAGCAAACAAATTTCTACTGTCAGTTAAAAACAGCACTTGAAAACATTTACTAGTCATGAAATAATTTCATGTATGAAAATTTTAAAAATGGGATTGGTTGTAAAAAAGCATAAGGTGTTACTTCACGTTATATCCAATATTTTTTTATAAAATCTTTATTCTTTGATCTCTATTTATACACACATTCCATTTTAATATTGTATGTAAATGAAATTTACTATTTCTTATTAAAAATCAGAGTAAGATTCAATTTCTATCATATGAAAATCTTTTGTAAAAAATACTCTGGAGCATCTTCTGTGTATATAGGTACAATAACATTTCCTACCCCATAGCATTGTTAAATTATATATTAAACATATCAAACAATGTCTGGCACAAAGTAAGCAAATATTAATAAACATTGTTATTATCATTGCTAGGGAGGGAGATATGATGATATGTTCACCAAAATTTGTGCTTCTTTCTCTAGTATTGAGATTTTGCGGTGAAGTGGCTCCCTAGCTGGGGACCACATTTCCTAGTTCCACTTGCAATTCACTGGGCTGTGTGGCTAGTTCTTGCTGGTGGAATGTGAGTGGCAGTGGAATATATCACTTCTAGGCCAGGTATTTACAAAGTAGGTGTGTTTCCCTATGCTCTTTTCTCTCCACTTTCCAAGTATACACA